AGAGAGAGAGAGAGATTTTATTTTTATAGATCACTAAATGTTCAGGAAGAAAGAGCTAGAAACCTGAAAAAAACACTTTCTAACCTAATATTGAGAGCAAATTTAAGCTCCTACTAAGTGGATGGTGGATTATAAGGCTTACTGATTTAATGACTCAGAAATATCACTAAGGATTCCCCCTATTTTCCTGCTAAGCCAAGCTTAGAGTCAACCCCTTTTTTAGATCACCTCCCTTATATGGCCATACAATGGCTGTAAAACACAAATGAAATAACACGTTCCCAAGTCCATCTACACCAGGAAAAAGAAAGTCCTTTCCCTGGACACAAAGTAGGAATTCTCCTTTCAAACTGAGGGGGCTGTAACAGTTAAGAAGCTGTGCACAGATGCGCTTAAGCTAGTCACGGTCCACACAAAGGGCTGGGAATGGGGTTAACCATGCAGAAAGGATGAGGAGGTCGAAACCTCAACATGACGAGTGTCAGGAAGGGAGAAATGGAGCATTAGTGCCATGTGATCAACCAACAATGCCCCTTAAAGTGAAGTCATTGTACTTAATGGTTGCCTTCCTTTTATTTCTAAATAAAACATGATACTGTATACACTCTGTCTGAATATATATATATATATATATACTGTTATGAACAAGTATGATGTCACTGTCCTCTCATGATCAAAGTAGCTGCAGGCTCCTTGACCAGATGGTACCCCAAATCTAGCTGTTGCTATATCCAGAACCAATTGTGCCAAGAGCCTGGTCCAGGCCAGTGGTGTTTTGTTCTTTGCAGTCCGTGCCAGAGCCAACCTATGTCCCTTGCCTACAACTGCGATGCTTTTCTTACAGGGAGTTCTAGATGAAAATCACTGTCAGAAACGCACTCTATTCATCTATTTTTAGGATTTGGTCGTAGGCCATGGGGATAGGGATCAAGCAGAGGACACATTATGAAGCGGCTGAGGTTGGTTGGAGGCCACTGGCTCAGCTCACCAGGCAGAACTAGGTTGTAGCCCAGGGCGGGATGATGTGGGATTCAGTGATGGGGACAAACAGACCAGTGTCAGCAGCTTGGGACCCTATCTATCCTGTCTAGTGCTCTACTGATGGGAAGATCCATTCCAGACCCCAGACTTCAAGTCTGGACACACAGTGATTTAGGATACGGTCCTGCAGGTTACAAGTTATTTAAGAAAGCAGCTTCCCGGGCTGGAGCGATGGCTCAGAGATTAAGAGCACTGACAGCTCTTCCAGAGGTCTTGAGTTCAATGCCAAGCAACCACATGATGGCTCATGACTATCTATTAAGAGGTCTGGTACCCTCTTCTGGCATTCAGGTATATAGGTTCTAAACAATAAATATAAAGTTGAAAAAATTAAAAAAGAAAGCCGCAGTTCTTCACACTCCTCCATAGAGGACAAAAGTCCTTGTTGTCCCCCCCTTCCAACAATACATACTCTTAGAAGAAAAAGTGCTACTAACTGAACTTTTCCTCCTGCCTGTCAAAGCTACAATGCTTTGATTTCGTCCCTAAAGTTGAGGCTGGGGATTTGGCTTTCTTCCTGATGGACCAAGTGTTCTCAGTTTCCTGAACGGACTCACATGGGCCATTGCTGAAAGGCTGTTATTGCTCTTAGTTATGAAATACTGATAAACTATCTGACTTTTCTGGTACTTGAGATTGGCAAAGGAACAGTTAAGCCCGAAGGACGCTGAATACAGACATCCCCATAGGCTCTCTGCTTCCATATCCTGTGCAGAATGGTTCTCCAGTAGGACCAGCACCGCTCATCTTCCTTCCTTTGAAGTCAGAAATGGTCTTATCCGAACAAAATCTTTCTAGTATAAAGTAACTATAGAGGCTGGAGAGATAACTCAGCAGCTAAGAACCTGGGTTTGATTCCCAACCTTGGTTCCCAACACCCACATGGCAGCTCACAAGCATCTGTAACTCCAGGTCTAAGGGATCCAGTGCCCTCCTCTAACTTCTATGGGCACCAGGCACGCATGTGCTATACATACAAACATGCAGGCAAAACACTCATATGCACAAAGTGAAATAAATGAATTGTTTTAAAAAAGCAAACAGTGCAGCAGAGATGTGTGGCCCATTCTGAGTCGTTCCCCTATTCTGGACTCAGGGTTAAAAAAAATAATAACAAAAATTCCCAGCAAGTTATATAAATATCATGCAGCTTCCTGAACAAAATGTATTAAAAGGGTCAGGTGGTCCACTTTCTGCAAGTTGATGGAGTTGTGGTCATCCAAAATCAACCAATGCACTCAACCAATGTTGAAGCGGTGCCCAGGACAGGGAGTTTAAGAACAAGGGTAAATCCGACCTTCTATCAAGCCATGATCATCATAGGCCAACACAGGTTTCTCTACAAGGGCCCCTGCAGTCTTGCTCTAACTGGCTGTTTTCCTTCCTAGTACCCTCCCTCCTCATCTGTGTCTGTTAGCCATCTTGCACTGTCTTCCTCACCAGGGCCTGAATTCACTCTCCAGACAACCCGTGAGCCATTGTGTCTGTGCTCACCTCAGCCTTACCTAGGTGTTCGTTTCTGACACAGGAAAGACCTGTTCCTAAGCGTCTTGTATTTCCTGTGGGAGGAGTGAGGTCTAAGGAAATTAGTGATGCTGTGGACAGATGAGCTGGGGAAAGGAGGATGCAGCTCAGTTTGTAGGGTGCTTGCAGATCTGTGGAAAACTCTGGGTTCAGTCCCAAGCGCTACACAAAGTAGCGTGGTAACCTGTGCCTCTGATTCTAACACTTGGCAGGTAGAGGCAGGAAGATAAAGACTTCAAGGCCAGCCTCAGTTATATAGCCAGTTCAAGGCAAGGCTGTGCTACATCAGACCCTGTCTAAACCTAGGATACTTGTCATCATATAACTGCATGTACGTTATAAAAGGGAATATACATATAATGTTTGTAATATGTACTTATCCACACACACCCCATCACACTTATTATTTAGTAGTGAGAAATTTAAAAATGGGTATGCTAGCTTCATTTATAAAGCATTGACTAAAAAAAAAATACCCTGACAAAAAGCAACCTAAGGGAGAAAGGGTTCATTTTAGTTCACAACTCCGGCTCACATTTCATCACTTTGGGAGTCAGCCCCAGCAGAAAGGCACACAGGCCAAGACACTCATCAGGAAGCACCCACAGCCAAGGGCAAAGATAGAATGAATTCACCACTCCCTGTTGTTAGTTGTGCTCAGCTTGACTTTGCCACTCACATTGTCCAGGAGCTCTTCCTAGGGAATGGTGTCACCCACAGGCAGCTGGCTCTTCCTATGAATTGGTTAACCTCAGAAAGCCTATCCACAGGCCATTCATGGAGACCATCCCTCATTGGGACGCTTCTCAAGTGATTTGAGGTTGTGTCAAATGGATGATTATAGCTAACCGTCACAGTGGGTTATTTAGAATCCACCAACTATCTCCGTTTGTAGTAAAGTTGGACTCCAAGCATCGAAGTCATATAGCATGAAAACGGGGCCTGATTGAACACACTTTAGGGCTGGTTTATGTTACTGTTGGTTGTCTAACACATGGATTTCAGGCTTTTCATATCCTCCAAGTATTTCAGGACTATGTGTTTCTAGAGACACCTTTTTCAACACAGAATTTCTATACAGGAAATTCTTTTGATTGATGATCGACGAGTGGTGATGGGTGGTGCCATGTTATCCAAATAGGACACTCTCGTGGAGTTTGGGATAGAACAGGCTTTTGTTTACAGCATATAACCTGACACCCTTATAGGCACATCCAAAAGAGTGTTTCCAGGGTGATTCTTAATCCAATCAAGTTGACAGTGAAGATTAAATCACCGCAACCAGTTGTCTGTTTCTGTAGTAGAAAGAGATGTAAAAGGCAATTAATTCTTAAAGACTGCTCGTACACAGGATGTCGCCATGGAACCTTCCAGAGGAGGACAAGTAAAGACTGATGCTGAAGGCCTGATTTCTGTGTTTAAAGTGCATTTTTATTGGCTGTGTGAGCTCCTATGCACGAGGAACACTCTGCATGCCCAGGAATTGCTGTGTCTTGGAGCCCGTGTTAGGCTGGCCAGCCCTCATTGCTGTCTGCATCTGCTAAGCACAGATGTGAGACATTGGCTGGTCTGTCTGTATCTTTTTCAAACAAAGAGAAAAAGTGTGTGTGTGTGTGTGTGCGTGCGTGTGTGTGTGTGTGTGTGTGAAGGGTGGAAGTCAGAGACAGACACATACACAGAGAAAGAGACAGAAACACGAGAGAGAGAGAGAGAGAGAGAGAGAGAGAGAGAGAGAGAGAGAGAGAGAGAGACTTTCTTGGAGAGCCCTTTTGTGAGTTTCTGGAGTGTCTATATGTTTCTGCACATGTGTGATAGTTTGAGATCTTCTACAGTAACCTTTAATGGTCCTCTTGAGGAACTGTACCCTATTCAGCCCAGTTTCTATTATTGGGAAGTCTGAGGCAATTCCTAAGCACGAAACTGTCCTTTGATCTGTAGAAACAGTGGTTTCCATGGAGCTGTGCTGGCGAATGACCAAGCTGGAGTTCAGCATTCCAGAAAGCTGGGTTCTGTGTTCCTAACCAGGCCTGTCCTGAAGTATTTGCATAAAGACTTTAAGATCGTCATGTTTTGTATGTGAGTGCTGAGAATAAATTGATTATTTGGGGGGGTAAAAGTATGGCAAAGCATTCAAATTTTTTTTCATTTATCTAAATGCTAGCTAATTTCCAGAAAAGAAAGTATTTTAATCTTTTGATGACACAGAATACACATTTTCCTAATATTCCTATTTTGTACAAAGTAACGCAAAACAGACTTTGTCTTATTTGACATTAATTGTAAATAAAAATGAAAGCCAAATTATTGTGACCAATATATTCCCTACATCTGGCAATACTCTTTTCTCAAAGCAATTGTTAATCCCGAGTTATTTTTAGACATTTTAAGCTGAGTCGTCTTCTCTGGGCTTCTTTCTCCCCCACCCCATTCTGCAGAGCAGGCTGCCTAAGATGCCTGCCAGCCCCAGCCCCAGCGCCAGTGACTGTGACGAACCCCACAAACTCGTACAGCCATGCTATGACTTCAGGAAGGACAGATGGAGGTGCCCAACAACATTGCCTGCCCTCTGACACAGGGCAAAGAAAGTCTCAAAACAATGGTAAAGAAAACAGCTGTCAATAAGTGGACAATGTTTCTACTGTGCAGATTAAATAGGGGTCAAGAGAAAAGACAGCATTGGCCTGAGTAGACTGTAGCTGAAAGGCTTTGGTGATGACCTTTGATTTCTACAAAAGCCATTCTGTGATGGTTGGATGCATGGCTCCCTTTTAACTGCATCTAAGAGTATCCAAGAGGCCTTGGTCTTTGGGGACAGTTAACCCCTTTGCTAACATGTAAAATAACAAACAAACAAACAAAAAACCATGAAATACTCTCTGGGGCCAAATTTGTTGTGTTGGTATGGTCTTGCAGGGTATCCCAGGCTGACCTCGAACCTTTAACAGTCCTCCTACCTCAGCCTTTGGCTCTTTCGTGAATCACCATATCTGGCTTCAAGCTAAATGCTTACCTATTTTCACCACCTTCTGTGATATCGAGGTCCGGTACTTACTTAGTCCTCTCAGCAGCACTCTCAGGAAGCCCGGAGACTCTCAGCCTGAAGTCACCCTTCTCCCCTTTGCTTGTCATGTGGGTCTGGCTCTAACTCAGGTTGTGATCCTAAGATGTGCTTCTGATTTCCTTTCAAACCATTCCTGGAATAACCGAAAGGTTTTGCATTCAAGGGAAGCATTGACATTATTTTTCCCCTGATCCCTTAATGAGATATTTATTTTTGTTCATATATCTCATAGATTTTGATGGAAGAAAAATACTGGTTTTTCATTTGTGTTTTTACACATATTTATGTGTCCAAAATAAATAAACAACAAGGAAGAAAAATCCATTTTCAAAAATCAGCAGTACTCTGGGGGAGGCTCTAATAAAAACTGATTTAAGTAGATTCTATTGTCATAGATTCTCACTTTTCTTTCACTGACTTCCTTTCACTGATCCCTTAAATCATGTTTTTAGGATATGTAGGACACAATGCTGGGTTTGTAATAAAGAATAAAACCTCAGAGCAGCTGGGCGAATCATCCAGAAAGAGCGGCTATGAAACACCAAGCAGAGCTACCTCCAGCTGTTCCTAACTGTGTGAGCACTTTCTGTGCACAGAGCCTGTGAGTGGCACCCTCTGGAGCTGTGTCACCATGTTAGCACTAGGACTGAGGGGGTCAAAATACACATCTGCATGTCTGTGTTCAAAAGTTAAGTGAAAATTTTGGGTTCCCTATTCACCCTAGAAATGGTGGGGAAACCCGAGTCACATAAGCACACAGAGCTCATGACCCTCCAAGCTGCGGGTATGAGATAGTGGGTCTATTTGGCTGGGGAAATGGCACAGTGCAAACAATTCCTCTTGCTATTTCTTTTCCCTCCATCTGCAGGGGAAAGAGTAGGGATAGTGTGAAGGCGGGACCACAGTCGTGAATTGGGCGTGAATGACCGGAAGTTGGGAATCAGAATCTTCATGTACTCAGTCAGTCTTCCTCACGAGAGCATTGGTGAGGGCTCCATCAGCCAGGTCCTGTGGTAGCTGCTAAGGACAAGTGAGTCACACAAAAATGTAACACCCAAGGGGCATAGAGTCTAGTAGAGCTAGAAGACAGTGGCTTTAAAGTCATAAGTGTGTGATTGACTGCTTTGCTATGAAGAACACAGGGATGGTCTTAAGAGATTTGGGTTGGCAAGAGTTTGGCGATGGACCGTGGGACATCAGTGAACAAAAGAATGAATGGGTAAAAACAGGCAGAGCCCACAGTGACTGGGTTGGGAAGAGAGAGGAATCTCTACTGACTGGCCTGGAGGGCCATGCTCAGGTGCTCCACTTCCATCTGAAAGGCAGAGGCTGTGCTTACAGGCTTTAAGTAGGAGAGAAATGAGTCCAGGTCAGCTTTTTCTAGGTCCACGGTAGCTATTGGGTGGTTATATATTGTCTCTTTATAGATGTTTCAATGAATTGCTACCCAGGAGGTTTTTACTGGAATATGAAAGAAGAATGCCTTTATTCACAGTGGGGAGGACAGATGAGCATGCGGAGGGGGCAGGGTATGTGGAGATCCAAGGTTGACACAAGGAAGTCTTTCTTCAGTCTCCTCTCCACTTTATTTTCCAAGACAAGGTCTCCACTCAACCCGAAGATGAACATTTTGGCTAAACTGGCCAACCAGCAAGCCCCGGGATTCTCCCATCTCTGCCCGTCAGTGCTGGAGGTACATGTGGCCACCTCCATGCTCACTTTATACCTGGCATTCTGAGGACCTGAACTCAGGACCTTGTGCTTGTGTAGTGAGCACTTTACCCACTGAGCCATCTCCCTGGCCCAAGAAGTCCCCGTTTTCCAAGTGAGGTTAAGAAAGAAGAGCACCGTTTATGGACAAAGGAAGAAAGCAGTCACTAAAATAAGGAGCTTCTTCTTCCAGCATTCCCGCCGTGTAGTCCCTCAGTGTCTCTGCTTCTGAGCAAGTCAAACGAAGTATTTCAGCACTTTCTGCTGTACATCAACTCTGTCTGCTTATTTTCCCCCCTCAAATTACATATTCTGGCAAGATTTGCACTTGTAAAGCATTTAATTATTGTGTTTGGCAGTCGTGGCTGGTTGCATTATGTAAACAAATGCCAACTTCAAACACTGAAGCTGAGGTTTTTTTTTCATAGTCTGCCAGAAAGCAAGACTATTTGATGTGCAGTTCGGATGCTCCAGTTTCTGATTACGTAACATAGGTGTGGGAACAGGAATCTGGCTCGCCTCTAAGGTCCTAACGCCACAGAAAATTAGCCTTTAGCGTGCCCAGCAGAAGTGTCAATCACACGCATGCACACGTGCACACACACACACACACACACACATACACACACACACGTTCCAAAGACACTCCCAATATATGCTCCACTTAACTGAAAGTCCCTTTTATCTTCAAACGTTTGTGCGAGCACTACAGTATTTTCAGATCTTCCATGTGGTTTCTGAACTCGGCAAAGTGGAGCTAACTCACCACCATCTCCGGGATAGATTCCCAATGGTTCCCGTGAAGGGAACACAGCTAATTGCCTTAGAGCTATCTGCAGGCAATGATCACTCTCTAAAGTGTAAATGTGATCAAAAGCACTTCTCAGCTCAGTAGACTCTAGAATAGTCTACAGTCCTGCACAGAGCTAATGAAGAACTCTTATTGAGCAGGGTGTTGGAGCATTGAATCAGTAGGTAAAGTCCTTGTCACATGGCATCTTGAGTTCAAACTCCACAACCCATGTGCAAAGCCAAGTGTGAGGCAGACCTGTAATCCCAACACTGGACAGTGGAAGACGGTGGGACCCCCGAGGCTCGCTGGCCAGACAGCCTAGCTGAGGAGCAAGCAACAAAATTTGCTGTGTCAAAAAATGAGGTGGAAATGGCAAGTGACAGAAAAGGACAGCTGACGTTAGTCCCTGGCCGCCACACATGCGCATGCACCTACACACGTGCATTCACACAGTCACACATACACGAAAAGAACTAGTGTTTTCTCCACTCCACTGATTAAAAAAAAGTATCCATCCCACTCTTTCCCTCCTCCCTAGAGTATGAGGAAGTGATTTAGGAAAGAGTAGAAGCCTACTGTGTTTCACCCCTTCAGCTCCTCCATATGTCTTCCTGGAGTCCAGCGTCAGACTCCTCGTTCATGGGGCTGATCCTGAGACGGAACACATCAGAGGAAGGTCAAATTACAGTTTGGATGCCATGCTTACTTATGGAAGTGAGAACTTGTATGACCCGGGTTAGAGAGAGAAAAAAAATAACAGGGGTTGAAAGGGGATTTTAGGGTAACCCTGATGTTACCAGAAGGTTTAGGTAGGCAGATCTTCTCGTTTCTTCAGGGGTCTGGATAATTGCTGTTTTATTCTAATAGTGATGACAGTGATGAGCTCAGAGCCCAGCCTCGCTCCCCTCTGAATTTTGCAGAACCAGCCTGCTCCAGGGAAGGGGATGTGGATTCAGGTCTTTGTATAAGAATGGATTAGCTGCCAGGATGGAGCGAGGTTCCAATGCTCGCTGTCTGTGGCCTTAGATGGGTAGGGAGGGAGTTGCCTGGTCTTCACTTTTATTTCCAGTTGCAAAGCTGGGCTCTACCTCAAACACTTCCTCCAGAATGTGCATACAACTTGGGAATGGTTTGCTGCTTGAGAACCCTGAGGTGAACTCAAACCTTACGTGTGAATTGGCATAGCAGAGCCTGTGAGGAATGTGTAGTAACTGCAGGTGGCATGCTGGGCACCCAACATGTTAGCCAGCAAGGGAGGGAAGTTCTCTGTATAAACCTAACCTGACAGTTTCTCCTCTCCCACCCAATAGCAACAGCTCCTTGGTGAGGTTTTCCCATCTGCCTTACCGGCTTCCTTCCCTTACTCCTGGCGCCATTTATTAATACACGGTTGGTGAAGCTGTAGGCTGCAGAAACTTCCCTAAGGTGGCACACACGTGAGCAGCAGAACCAGGGCTGGAGGATGTGACACACAGCACACCTGTGATGCGCACTGCCCCAGGCTGTGTGCAGCGTCAACAGTGTCCCATGGGTGGGTTTGGTGGAAGGCCCTGTGCCTTCAATGTCACCTTTCAGTTTTTCTTATTCACAAAATTACAGGGAGTCTTGACTCTCTTCATAGAATACTTTTACGTTGATCTCTTATCTCTAAAGATTAACTTCATTTTCCTAATGGGAAGTTAAGCATTAAGAATTATTTAAAGCAAGCAAGTTACTAGCACCCGATATAATATAAAAGAAAAGCTACCCAAGGTTGAGACTGATGCCCCAGGTGGGAGGCCTTGTATGTGCCCTCCACAACACCTGGTGCATCCCCTGTGTAGAAAGCAAGGACAATAGAAGAGGGGATTCTAAATCCTGAATTGTGGTACCCGCACAGTTTCTTTTCTACTTGAGTTGGGACAAAATTGTTTAGCATGTTTAGCACCTTGATAGACCAACAGAATGATGTCTTCTTTTGTTGTTTTGTTAATTTGTCTATCAGAAAAAAAATGTCTACATTCCCCTTCTTCTGGTTTGGGGACTGATGTATTTG